CGAAAAAAGCAGCAGCATGAAAATTTGTGTAAGTGCAGCAAGCTCTGAAAAAAAGCAAAAAAGGAACAGCGCATATAATGTCGATGAAAAGAAGGAATACGACGATGAAAAAACAGCTGATCGAAGCAACAAAGCACCAATGGCGAGGAAAGAAGCTTGTTTTACGAATCAATCGAAGAAGGGATTCTGATCTTTAGCGTACAAACTTAAGACCGTTCGCTTCCGGCTGGAAAACGTTTCCGGAAGACAGGTCATCATTGGAACGATAAGGCACTCGATACTTCTATAGGAAAACTATAAAGAAACTGAAGGCAAAAAGACAGAATAAAAGAGCAGATGCAGTTGATAAACGTAATGAAGCTATAAGCAGCACAGGAAAACATCTCTGATCTTCCAGACTATTGAGAGGCACTTGAGATGGTCGTAAATATAAAAATTTGATCGTACAGCCATCACAGTAATGCGACTGAGACATATTACCGCTTCGGTTCAGACGTAGTGTCCAAAACACTGCACTGCGACTGCTGAGCATCAAGTACTTCTGTTTTCCATTGTGTCGCTGTGCCATTCTTTGCTTGTACTGCAGCCAGAGAGTCAGATGTAATATTTAGTTCGGGCTGAGATGAAGATGATACTTCTTGTGACGCAGTTTGTATTTGACTTGACACTAAAAATGACTTTTCAAATGTGAACTACGAACTTTTCATTAAAATCCCAAATCAGGTAAGGACTCAAACAGCAGAGCAACAGCACCATCTCTAGACATGAGGGTGTGTAGCTGCAGCGACGCGACTAGATGGTTATTTGTGGAAGAACCACTGCGTTGAAACATCATAAACTCTCAGAACAACTGTGGCAGCGAAGTCGGTAACTCAAAGGAGCTTCACAACTAATATCAAAGCGTGAGCTTATCTGCTGTAAGAACCTTACGAACTTGGACCAAATATCTAACACCAACAACTGACTGGCATCAAATTTCAATTTAAAGTTGCAGTTAAAAGCAAATATTCCAAGATTTTTCGGTAAGACAGCTCCAAGCTTGTTGGAGCAAAAAAAACCTGGTCCACTGTTCATTGTACGAAGTGCAAGCGAATGCTTTCTTGCAGCTGTTACTGCAACATCAAGCAAGCCACCAGCACGGCGGTATTCTAGAGAGAAACTCTAATGGCATTGATCCCTGAGCTCCAAAACATCTTATTTCACTACCAAATCAAAAATCTCTTAGAAAGTGAAACTCCCACCAGATTCTCGAGTGATGACATTTAATTTAAAGGAAAAATAAAGCTACTAACACCGGCCCCAATCAAGAAGTCGTACCGCAGTTCGCAATTCGTCATGCAACTTTTTCTCTAAATCAATAAACATGCGATATGAATCAATAAAATAGACCTGGAACAATAACCCATCAACAGCAGATATCCACAGCTACAGGAACTCAAGTAATTCTCAAAGTGATCGGAACGTGGTAAGAGAACCACAGTGATTAGTTAATTTTTGTTAATTCACTTTTCACCACCTTACATAATTCAGCTGCACAGAAATTAAGGCATAAATAGCGGTGCGTATCAGGGTAACCGGTGCGGCCATACGTTTTGTGCATTTCCGTCCAGCGAACTTCTGCCTGCTAAGGATTTTCAGCGCTTTGCATTTTGATCTGTGGAAAAATAGTTGAAATGTTGTCTGGTTCCTAAACTGCGAAATTTCCACTAAAACCTTGCAGGCTGAACATACTCCCAAAATTAGTCTTCTTATTTTCTGGCTTTTGAGCGATTTTCCGGTCAGAACTTTTACTGGTCGTGCGTCACCTCGGAATACTTGGGAACAAAATTTGAATTTGTGCAGCCCTGCATAAGCCGAAAACATATGCTTGAAATTTTCAGTCTCCTACCTCTTCTGGCTTCCAGATAATAATTTTCCCACCAAAACATCCACGACGGCGTTGAAACCCAGGCGTACGGGCATATGGGCAGAGGACAATACCATAAAATTCCAGCTTTCCAGCTTTCGTGGTTTTCAAGATAATTTTCCCCGCCAAAACTTCCACAAGGTCGTACGTGGTACCCAAACCTAGAAGAAAGCCGAATTTAAAGTTGAAAGGTTGTACTTGTGCAGGGGACATCACCGTAAAATTTTAACTCCCTAGCTTTTGTGATTCGTGAGACAATAATTTCCCCGCCAAAACTTTCGCGAGGCCGTATGCGATATCTGAGCGCGCGAGAAGGTTGAATTTAAATTTGCGATTGGTTGGTTGCAGGCAGGGGATACGACTGCAAAATTTTAGCTTCCTAGCTTTTACAGTTACGAATAATTTTTCGAAAAAATTTCCACGGGGTTGTAAGTGGCACCTGAGTGCGCGGGGAGGCTGAATTTAAATCAGCAAGATGGTACGTAAGCAGAGGTCATTACTCTAAAAGTTCAGCCTCACAGTTTTCAGTTTCCAGCATAATAATCTCCCCACCAAAACTTGCACATGGTAGTACGCAGTACCCAAGAGCAGGGGAAGGATGAAATTAAATTTGCGATGTCGCATACGGCAGGGATTATTACCTCAAAATTTCAGCTTCTTAGCTTTCACGATTCCTGAGATAATACTCCCGTCAAATCTTTCACGAAGCCGTAACTGGTACCCGGGCGCGCGGAACGGCTTATTCTAAATCTGATGGATCATACGCGGGCAGGGAACATTGCCGTAAAATTTCAGCTCTTTAGTTTTCGTGGTTCCCAAGATAACTTTCCCTTCCAAAACTTCCACGGAGCCATACGTAGTATGCAAATGCGCGGAAGGGCTTAAATTAAGGCTGCGGGGCCCGATTTGCGTAAAATAACAAAAGTGACAGATACCTGATCAGGAAGAGGATTGCTTTCCAAAAGACAATTCCGTTCAAACTCTACATACAATAAACGAAAATCAAATCTGAAATACAAATCTTTCATTCTGGAAGAGGAAAGATTGATTTTCACAGTTCCTATGACAATTTCTTAATTTTTGGAGTATGTAGCTGGTTTGCTAAGTAGTCTCTTTTAGAAAACAATGTATAACAGTTGCAAAACAAAAAAATTCAACAAAAAACACAGAATAATTTCCTTTAATTCGGATAAACGATCAAGGGGAACAAAGCCACAGTCAAACGACGGCCAAGCGATTATAATCGTTCCGCAAAAACAGAATGCAAGCAAGAATGTAGAAGTGGATGAGCGAAAAACTCATGATTTAATAAGGTCGCATGCTTTATTCCTATGTTCTTTACTTGAAATTGCATGAAGAACTCAGCTACAGGCAATCATTACCGAAAATTTTTCGAAAAAATGCATAAAATAAAATGTCACTTCAATCCATTATGAGCAATTAGGCAAGTCGGTTTCGGCAGTTGCTCCAGAAACAATTTAACTCCACGCCATTCAGTGACAAAATCATTCTTGTCTTCTAGTTCCTCTTGTGAGTATGAAAAAACTGAAAAAATCATAACTGCAAAGTTTGATCCGAAATTGGAAAACGGATTTTCATGCCACAAAATGCATCTCAGTTTAAATATCCCACCATCCAGTTACAGCACAAGCACTCCATTTTGCAGCCAAAAAACTCCGCGCCTCATAATGCAAAGAGCTTTTTTCACCGACTTCTCAAAGGAATACGCTACGATTGGTGGGAAACAAAAACACAACAGGAAAACTCTTTTCACGGCAAGGACGTCTTTTAATTAATGGGTTAAAATAATCTGGAAGAAAACCCATTCGACCGTTCGTCTGCATGTTCAACCTCCCAGGCCTTCCGTCTATACATTATTCATAAAGCAGAAATTAGACGACATAAAATTACCGTTAGAATGGAGTCGATTTTTTTCATAACTCGCCCATTCTTTTTGACTCATTTTTGGCCTTATCTATAAAACATGGATTTAGAGGATGTTGCACATTTATCATAAGACGTAGACTGAACCAGTTTATGCAAAACTTCGCATCACAAATTAAACCAGTATGAAAATATTTCTATTGTAAAGAGATCTGTCAGTTCAGTTCAATTTTACCTTTAACAACACAGCAATTCAGGTTTTCTGGAACTTCCCTCGGCATTTCAAACAAAAAGTAAAATAAAAAGTAGCAAAAAAATTACACCACGAATATCAAGACCGCCAGGGCCATGCCTCTGGAGCAGTTTTACACAATGGACACAACTGTGCTAGGCCCTCCGATTCGGGAATGGTAAAGCGAGAAAATAAATCTTACCTAGCGAAGTTGATTTCCCAAATGGTCGAAATGGACGCCGTTCATCTGACAGATCTTGTTTGGTTACGGACAAGAAAGGGCACACAAGCACCATCTCCTCCACTGCTATTTCCATCACAGCTAGTTTTCGCTCTCCTGCTTTTGCTAGTAACTAATTTCGTATCTGCACATCACTGCCTTCACTTTGAAGAGGCAAACACTTTCCTGCTAATTTTGAACTATGAGGGTGCTGTTTATACCAAGAAATTTGGGCTAGCTAACAGTACTATGCACAGTCTCCAGCTGAAGATTGTGCTGTACATTTAATTCCTCGCCAAGAAAGACATAGCTGCTAATTTCAAATAAGTCATCGAGTTTCTCTGCAACTTGCCTGCGAGCATAACGACACTTTAGATCACATTCACTTTCGATGCGTTAATTTTCAAGTAAAGCAAAAGTAGTTTAGATTCTTGTTAGTGGTATTTAAACCAACTTTCAAAATCAGCTTGCAAAATACGATCTCGAGACAGGCCTTGAAAAAATCGGGCAACACGGCACCTGACCCACGTCACCCACAACCGGTTACGGACTGAAGTGATTGACCCAGCACTTTTTAACCGGAAGCGATTTCTGAGACCCACAAACGTGCAGAGAGAAATGCGAAGGATTATTCTCTATTCATGCGTGAGCTAAAAATTTCAAATTTAGCTTTCGCGCGCAATTGCGTCAGGCGCACAACTACACTAAAATTGGCACCGTGATAGCTCCAGAAAACAATAGCTGCAATTTTGCCAGAATATTTGTTGTCCTTCTAGGAAATCGCACACCTAAATCGAGTTTCGACTTGCATTTGTGCCACACCTTAGGAAACGTCAGAGATATTTGCAGCGAAGAGGCGATCTCGCTTACCAGACAAGCTGCAAGGCTGAAACTTTCCCGTATGGACTAAATTTAAACTGAAGACTAAAATTCTTGCACGCAATCATGACAAGCACTCAAATTTGTCGCAACCTCAAAAGCGAGTGCACTTTGCAAATTTTGCCATACTTCAGTCCGAAAAACCTATTTACTGACAAATTTGTATTTTTATGCGTTTCTTCTCGCTGCGCAGTAAAAACGCATACTGTGATGACCTCGATTTGTGCGCGTGTGTGTGTGTGTCTGCTCAGGTATTTCAACTTGGCAACCAAGCAAGCTTCGCGCCGAAATTTCGCCCGCGGGTTCCCCGGCCAAGTGCCATCCCAGGACCGCAATACCAACCCTTAAGCACATCCGGAAATTTCGACGGGGAAATTCGCTAACTCGCGAACCAAAAAGGCTGAAATTCTGAGGGGATGTTCCCAACTTAAGCAAAACGTAAGAACTTCAAGCCCCAGGGACAGCGTGGTACTCACGTATAGTTCCGCGAAGTTTTTGGCAGGAAAATCGCTAACTCTTGAACCAGGAGAGCTGGGAGGCTGAAATTATAAGGGAATGTTCCCAGCTCTCGTATAGCTTAAACATTTCAAGACCAGTCCTCAGGTGTGCGTGGTCCTCACGTACAGCCTCGCGAAAATTTTGGCGGGTAAATTGTTAAATCGGAACCATGAAAGCTGGAAAGCTGATACTTTGAGGGGATGTCCCCTGATTAAGTACCACGCAGTCGCACAATTAACTTCCTGAATTTCGAGGACTAGTATGTCACAAATTCTAGCTACTGGGACTCCAAGCGATTTTACTGCGGCACGAAATACTGCAAAAACGCATGATCGTACGAACCCGCCTGGTGCACATCGCCAGTGATTCAACAAAGAAGTGACCATGGAAATTATTCATTTCTTCTCATGCAAAGCTTACGATTATCACGCACGCCGGAATTTAACACTTCACACAGTCCCACAGTAAAACACCATCGTCTCAGCCGACGCCCGTTTCCCAAAATACCCAACATAAGCAAACGTGTTAAACTGCCAAGCAGCAACTATTTATACTGTTCGCAACCCGACTGTTTCAAGTCCAGCGCAAGAACGCGCGATTACACTGGCAAGCCTGGCGTTCAGGCTCACAGTAAAGCTGCAAACTCCCAACATGAGCATCTCCAAAACAACTTACACCCTTCTACAGCCTTGCCAAAAATTCGTTTGACGAACAAGTAGAATATACAAACACGGACAGTTTTACTACAAAAAGAAAACCTGTGCAGTATAAACGTTGGCTGGAAATCGGATATCACTAATTCGACAAGTGCCCGATGATTCCACATCATCGGAGTTCTGAATTAATGAGTGCATCCTCCTAATTCCAGACAGAATTGCCTTTCGAGTTATCGAGACAAGACTGATTTCCATTGCGTGTGGAGCTTGCCGACAATTTGCTAAAATTTGGCCACCGTAGAGCTTTCACGTTTTAGCGCGAAATGAAAAACTGGACAAAAATTTTGCTCTCCATACTCTTCTCATAGCTCCCCGCCTGTAAGTGCCATATCCACGGCATTATGCCTTTCCAACCTAACTGAGGCCCCAACAAAATCCTATTTAATTCTTGCTAAGCGAGCGACAAATGAGTGGTGACCAACTAATTTGAAAGATTTCACCTTTTTGGCGGCTGTGTACTCTTATGTTCCTCAACCCAATCACTCCGCGGTGCAATTTCATTACTTCCTTCCCTCCCCAGCACTCCTTCCCTTCCCTCCAACTAAACAGGGTGCCACTGGTTAAGAACCACTTCCCCCTCCCAATACGGTTCCTTTGTTGCCTATAAAAACGAAAGACAATCGAACACGAAATCCTACAGAAGAAGGCAGCTACTTTCAGCTGCAATCCATTTCAGGAGCCTTCCGACCGAGCGACCGACCCATCCCACAAAGGCCTCCAGAAATTTATGATTTTCGAGGCCTCATCCTGATTAAACGTAGTTAGTCGGAGCATCTCCCTCCCAGAAATTTTAGCTGCTAGTGACATCCACATCATGACTGATCTATAACCGTCCAGCAGACAGAAAGTGTTGAGTGCGTTAGATGAATCTGGTCACGCACCTTCTTGCCGCACCCTGCTAAATGCCACTACCATTTTCTCCATCCTCTAGTGAAATGCGCGTGTTAAGTAGTGCAAAATGGAAATAATTGGCCAACGCACGGCGCGACGAGAATATTTTGAACACTCAGTGGCTTACTAATTAAAAAAATTGGCCAACGCACGGGCTGCCAGTGCGGAGATGCGTTTTTGCATGGTTCCCCGCAGTTTTTGTTGCTACCGGCATCGGTTTTTTCGGCAAATGCTTCTAGCTTAACAAATTAAGACTGGCCACCAGAACTGTCAGAAAACATCTCCTTAAAATTTCAACTTTCTAGCTTCCCTGGCACCAGAGTCAGCAACTTACTGGAACAAAATTTTCACGGGCCCGTGCACGTTTACCAGC